TTTTTTAAATTTGAGCTCAGGTTTTTAATAACTTTCAGATGATTTAAAAAGTCCCGCCTAGTTGAAAAACCAAAATTTATTAGGAAAAAAATCACCACGAGCATTAATATTCCTTAACTTTCTTCGAATGTGGGAACAAAGGCGTTTTTCTTGATCGATCAACGCAAAAAAGAAGTTAGAACAATCAATGCTTGGCTCTGATACGAGCAGTCTTGTTGGCTTTCGCATGAAGTGCTAGTAGCATCTGCATTGGTCATAACTAAGGCAAAAAAAAACAACATACAAACTATACGCCGGGTTACCCAAAAATGCTACTCATACAATTTTCATATATGTAAAAGTGCTACTCATACACTTTTCATGCAATTCCATAAGCACAGAAAATTGCATGAAATGTCTATGACTAGTGATTTTTTATATATGGAAATAGTATGACTAACATTTTCCCATGAACCAAAAAGATCGATTTTTTAACTTTTTTTCTCAATTTTTCTTAGTTGTTATCGCAACTGAATACTAGTGACAGAAACCTTGGTTACTCAAACGTAGAGTAACCAAAGGTTTGAACGTATAACATTAAGAATGCATTGGAAACGGCTTGAAATGTCCTATTTCTGCCTTACACAAATAATATAACGAGAGTATCAATTTCTTAAATTTTGGCATAAAATTTCAGCGATTGATGTTTTAAAAATTTCAATTTTCAAATGATCAGACATTGATGCCAAAACAAAAAAAAGTCGAATTTTATGTCAAAACAAGAAAAAGTTCTTGGAAAATTTGATGATTAGTATTTTTTCATAGACCTAGTTTATGGAACTGTATGACTAACATTTTTGGTCTATGGAGGTCAACCCAGGAACTCATAACAGGAAGAGTCGGGTTTTCTTATTTACACCCTAGAAAAACATTCTAAATCTTTATAATGGGGACGACGGACGAGCGTTACTATACTTATTAAAATCTGTAATTTTTTTACCATTGCTTTAGTCATTCACGGACCTTTAATTTCTTTCTTCATCAACATAGGAGGGGTGAATCAAGGTTGAACCAACATCAAAATCAGATGGTGAATAACTTAAAATATCCCGAGCATCTTCCAATTATCGAGAACATTTCAAGCTTCTGTTGGGATCAAATCTCGAGTGATAAATGAAAAAAAAATTAGAATAATTTTTGGTATTGTTTTCAAATGGATTCTTTTAACCTGAATTTGAGAGATATGGTAATAGCTCGCGTGTTTTTCTGCCCCTCCTTTGTTTATTGACTTAAAACAGAAATAATCAATACCACAACTCAACTAATGCCCAAACTGAAACTGTTTAACTTTTCCTTTGGCCCTCTACTTGGTTCAAATCCTCTCTAAGTCCTTGTTACCATATTAATTAAATTAAACAACGGCTCACAATCTTAGCGGAGATAGAGAGAGATAAAAATGGATATCCGGTTCGCTAAACAGATTGAACACTCAGTCGAAAACTAAGCAAGTTATGAAAAACTTCCTTTTAAGTATTTTTTGTTTTCATGATATGGTACGTTTTTACAGAAAACGTCCATGAATTAATGTTGACCAATAAGTTTGTCGCATGAAAAAGTCGGCTGAAAAAATTTCGGCTAAACGAGCAACTTTTGGCTGTTTTGGATTTTAGAGGGGCTTTATTAAGGCCACTAACAGTTCATTAGGTGAGATTGTTTTCATTCGAAGGGGACGCTAAACAATTTAAAAGTGACAAACTCACTTCCTGAATTCCCTCCCAAATCAGCGCCCAGTTATTCGTACCAAATGGGTTGAACAGTACACAAATAGATATTAACTTGTACCATGGATCCTATAACTAGCGCTAGTTGAAGGATAATGAACATGTAGCAGATGTGTCAAAAAGTATACCGAAACTAAATGGATTCAAGGAGTCTAAGAGGACACCATGATGAGCAGAACATTTTGTGTTCAGAGATAAAAATTTGTTACTCTGAGAAGTATATATGTATGGGCATATGTAAATGCTGGCCTTGAAACCAGGGGCGGATTTGGGGAGGTGATAATCCGCCCCTGCGACTTTCAACACTAAGAAAAGCTTAATTGAAACATAAGAGTTTAAGATTTTTTTCAAAATTTAAAAACTTTAAATTTAATGAAGGGTAGTTAATGATTTGAGTATCCCAAGTACTAAGTTCAAGACTCCTTGTTGGTCGTTAAAATCTACGCTTTGAACTTTCTCATTTCCGAGCTCTTCCAATCATGGCTGCGTATCCAGTTTTAACTAGCACCGATTGAGATATTTGGGAGGATAATAACTGATTGACGTATGGAGTTAGGTGGTAACCACTTGCAAGAAGGTGCTAACAGGTATCCGGTGTTGACCAAATGTTCCCCCTCTCACCCTCTCAAAATGAGATATCCCCTACAAAATGACAGATCCCAAAGCACCTTTTTGCTCAAACTGATCCAAGATTGCGTCTCGTTAAGTGATTGTACCCCGCTGACAAAATCGTGATCAAACTAAACCCGTATGCATGTCATAACAAAAACCAGCCAACGTTATAAGCACTTGCACCCGTTTTCTAAACCACTACTAATAGCGGATAGAATTAATTAAAACCCGATCGATAAAGGGATCACTTTAACGCTTTTTTGACTGACTGGTCCTGAATAGAAATTAATCGCCCCTAGCGGGGTTCGATCCGCTTCCCGGAGAGATTCAAATTTGAAACGTATGCGGAGGAACTGTTACATTAGACATGTGTTTCAGATGAACAGCAAGGATTTAAGATTTTTGATGAGAAAATGAACTCTAAAACTAAAACTGCAGGAAAGGAAAATATGCAAGTTCATGGCACCTCAAGCACAGAAAAACAAGTGACTTTTTTCACCTAAACGTACTAAAAAGATATATATTTGATTTTTTGAAATAGTTTTTCTGCTCAAAACATTTTTTGTTCTCTATGATAGTTTTATAAATTGATAATTACATAATGTTCAGCCGTTTTAATCAGGACAATGATACATACCATGATACTTTCTCATCGTGACAGATATGACAGTTTAAGTGGGTAATTGGACCACATTACATCGATAGTTTCAGATCGAGAACAATGATACCAGTCAATCAAGCCAAGTCTCAACCTCTCCAAGTCTTACCAACAGTCATAAAAAAATTTGAACAGTTCTCAATTACGAGATTACATGTAGGACGTACTTTTAAAAAGTTCAAAATTTGATTTTCAAAAAGAAAATGTGCTAATTAAATGACAAAATGCGCATTGATGTCTTCTCGAAGGGATGAGAACCGAAACGAGATTTTGGTATCAGCGCTTTTAATATCGAAGTCAATCAATTCATGTCAAGCTTCGTATTAACCAAATATCATCAAAGAAATTAGAAAAACTAGCGAAAACTGCTGAGAACTGAAAACGAGTCACATTCAATGTCAAGCCTTGGATAAACTAAAATCGAAGTCCTAAAACGATTATAATTGCCAAATTTTTTAAGGCAATTTTGAGCAATCAAACGCTTTTATGAGAAATTTGACCTTTCTGAGAACCTTTTCGATACCAAAAATAAAAAACTAGCATACGTTTAGCTCAAAAATAGCACTTTTTTCACTTTAAAATGATGATGGTATTATTCAAGAAAACTCCGATTTCAGAAAAATCTAAGCAACTTTGTGTTCTTAAGTTTTTGCCTTTACCGCACTCGATTAACAAGACGCGTTTAAAATGGCAAAATTTTTTCAATTTTGTCCGAATAAATTTTTGAAATAATTCTGAACTGGAGAAATTTTCTTCAAGCGGTTCCTAAACTTATCTGATTAGTTTTACAAATGACCAGTCAATAATCAAAAAAAATCATTCCTCCCTCTCATTCTCTAAAAATTCAAGCAGAAAAAAAATACCACAAAAAATTACTTTTTTTTAGAATTTATAAGTGGAGAAACTTTCTGTGCTTTTTGCTCAGCATTTATCTACCCTTGAAGAATTTGAATTTTACTCGTAGATCTGGTTTTGGCTGGTTTCAAAATTAAATTAATTTTCAAAAAATTTAGAATCAAAACAAAAACAAAATAATCTTAGAATCAAAACAACTTGTTTTCCACTTCTGTGCCCTATGGCGAAATGTTCAAAAAAATCGGAAATGTTGGTTTGAGTTTTGGCTTTTCCCTCTTTATTTTTGGCGCCCAGTTTGGGTGAGTTTTTCTGTGTTTGTCAAAGAAGCCGAAAACAGCAAAAAAAGCAAAATATCAACAAGTAGGAGGCGTTATTAATAAAAAAGGGAGAATTTCTTGTTTTTCAGGAATTAATTTTTATTTAATGAAATGTATGTAAACTGACATCGGAGTCATGAAATCTCAATTAAATGAAATGTCAATCCTCTGAATCCACCTCGAAATGATTCTTGAATGACTGAAACAAAAGAAAACGAATTAAAGTTTATTTTCTTCCATCCCAGCCGCAGGTTTTGGAGATTTACTTGGTATTTAGAATGGTTTCTCCATTCAGGAGGTATATCGAGTTTCAGTTTTTGGCAAGCCTTTGTTGGTTTTATTGGTTTTTCCCCGTCTGGGCGATTAGAAAAGTCAAATATTTGAATTCCAGAAACAAATCCACCAAATTCATATTGATTATGTCTGTCCAAAAAACAATACATAGTTTGATTGATACGAATTAAAGGAAAATTAATCTTAATTGACACCAAAATTCAAGTTTTGAAGGTTTAATTCCCACATTGAAAAGAAAAGATTCGAATATTGATCTACCAGCAGGTGTGGGTTTATACTTTAAATTGAGCTGGTCAAAAATTATATCAGATTTCAGCTGTTGTATTTTTTGAAAAAAGAATTGAAAGGAAAAATGTATTGGCTGAATTATTTACTTGTTCACGTAAGGCACTCCTGACAGCTCGGGACGTTTTGATTGACGGACGTCGATGACGTTTAGCTTGTATTTGTTGGCTGATATTAGCCAATCAGAGAGCTAGATTGCTATAAATTTACGGCCACTCTAATAGGCTAGTTGATCCGCTCAAGTAAATTCAATCGAGCACTTTGTCGGTCTAAATTCTTAAATCTAAATACATAACAAATAGACTTCTTGCTCTTGATTTTCAGAGGAGAAAATTCTTCTTCAGTCATTTTTCACCTTTTCAACAATCGGAACCTTCTTGAAACTCAACATCAACATCATTTCGCACTTTATTTGTCCTACTTTTCAGTTGTTTTTTTGTCCAACCTTAAAAAACATCGATTACAACTAGCAAACAAACAGAAACCGAAAAAATATTTATCTAAATTACACTTTTATTCTACCTTTGAAGAAAATCTTTGATTTATTTCCAATTTGGCCAAACTTGCTTTGAAATGCATACGGATCCCAAGTTAGGGTTCCTGCTTTCACAAGCACATGCTAACCCAGGCGCTTTCCCGCCAGGAGCAGCGGCTCTTTTCGCCGCCAACCCCATGATTGCCAACCACCCGCAACTACTTCACCAACTATCGGCACAACTTGCTGCTCAGATGAACAGTGCCGCGGGAGGACCCGGTGGCGTGCCAGGAGGCTCAATGCACCCAGCTGGAGCTCCGATACCTCACCCCGCTCTCATGGGTTTCAATCCGGAACAGGTTGCCCAAGTTTGCGACACTCTGGAAGAAAGCGGAGATTTCGACCGACTTTCAAGATTTCTCTGGTCATTGCCTCCCCATCTGTTGGAATCAACAATGAAAAACGAGTCAATTCTCAAGGCAAGAGCAACAGTGTATTTCCATAACGGGCAATTCAGAGATCTCTACGTTCTGCTTGAAAACAACCGGTTCAAAAAAGACTACCATCCAAAACTTCAGGCAATGTGGCTAGAAGCTCATTATCAAGAAGCTGAGAGGCTGCGAGGGCGACCTCTGGGACCCGTTGACAAATACCGAGTTCGGAAGAAGTACCCTCTCCCAAGGACCATTTGGGACGGAGAGCAAAAAACTCACTGTTTCAAAGAGAGGACTCGCGGTTTGTTGCGAGAGTACTACTTGACAGATCCGTACCCGAACCCAAACAAAAAGAAGGAGCTAGCCCAACTGACAGGACTGACTCCCACACAAGTCGGAAACTGGTTCAAAAACAGAAGACAGAGGGATCGAGCTGCAGCTGCTAAAAATAGGTAAATACTTACTCAAATCTGAGATACTTCAAAAGAAACAGTTTTTGAAATAACTTAAGACTTTTAAAACTCTGATTTATTGAGGTGAGAATTAATCATTTCATTTATTATAATTTTCTTTTTTATTGCAGAGGCACAGCGTTGAACAACTTCAACTCATCTGACAATGAAGGTTCATACGACAAAATCCGATCTCTCGAAATTGACATTAACGACGATGATGACGATGACGACATTGACTTGGACGTCAGCGTTTCAGATTCTGACGACGAGGACCGAGAAAACTCAGCCGAGACGAAAAAATCGACAAGTATGTCCCCTGAACTAACTTCAAAGTCAAAACTTGACGACTCGAAATCAGTAAAATCCGAACCTTGTGATCTCTCCGTTGGCGCCGAGCACACCACAGACTCCGGCTCTGCTTTGAAAGTGAAGTCGGAAAATTGCAGTCCCATAGCATCTACAACTTCGGAAGTCAGCCCGAATCACTCCACGAAAAGTGGGTCAAGCTCGTCATTCGTATCACCGACCCATCCCGGAAACCTTTCCGGATTATCTCAAGCGTTCGCAGCCCAAAATGAAAACCTAAAACGAGAGCTGTTTTCACTTTATTCCGCACATTTGAATTCCCAAAATTCAGGAATGCAGTCAAACTTTCCAGGGCTACACTCATCGGCGAGTCCGATGCACTTGGCGAATTTGCCGCCTTCAAGTTTGGGTTCCGCAGCGGCGCATCAGCAGCGCTTGCTAGTGCCACCGGCACAGTTTTTTCTTCAAGCCCAACTCGCAGCTGCTGGTCGGCTTAGTTCTTCACACACCGCAGGTGTAGTGCCACACTCGTTTTTGAACCCAGCTTCTCAATCACTAATGAGGACGAATCAGTTTTTGCTGAGTTCGGCTCTGAACTCGAGCCAACAAATCAAACCGACGACCTCAACCGGGGCACTAAACACTACATCATCAGTTTCCAATTCGCCCGTAAGTTCGGCAACAATTGCTACAAGTTTGGTGGCAACATCGGCGACAACAAATAGCCCGACAAAGTCCACAGTATTTTCACCAGTCCGCCTGTGCAATATAAAGGACTCAAAATGAAGTCGAGCACCTGAAATTCTAGAATTCTAATTGACCCGAGTTTGAAAAACTTAGAAAAAACTTGCTACAATTTATTATCTGTTTTACTCTCCTTGTATTATTTATATGAAACCTGAAACGTTTTTTCTGAAAAAAGTTCAGAAATTTTGTTGTAAAGGTTTTTTTGAAATTAATTTACACGAATTTGGTGCCAAATAAATGTACATAGCAATAATTTTATTTGTATCCCGTCGATTTTTGTTGATAGATTTAGTCTGAATTAATATCAGAGCCAAAGCTTAATTTTATGTTCATTCACATGAATTAAATATTTCACTTCTTTTTTTTTATTCAACACAGGACGTCCTCTGAATCAGGTTTGAAATCCACGAAATGGGCAAAAATTTACAAATTTAAATAAAAAAGAACAAATCAGCTTCAACTTTTGATTTCATTAATGATTACGCATGTATGGATGATGAGTCCATGATGAATAAACAGACGCAAGTAAACGATGAGTATGCGGTTTCCGAATATTTCTCATAAATTTTTAAAGGGGTCAACTTGAGGGTCACAACTTATGCTTACGGGGAGCGCTGATGAAGTGGTTACTGAACAGCTCGTATGTTGGTCCTTTGTGGATAAATCGTGTTAACTTATATAAATTATTTAAATGTCTCTAAAAACTAATTTCACCGGCTCAAGTGGGCGCACAAAGAAAAAATCATTGATGAATTCTTGTTCTAACTCTAGTGTATTGCCGTTTCAAAACTTCTTTTCAGATGACTAAACCGTTTTATTTGACTGATTTTTATGTTTGACCAGTTTAGCTTTTTTTAATTGTGCGACATATAAGTCGACATAAAACAAAGATAACTGGGTCATTATTTATTGGCGAGTTCTTTCTGTCTCATGACATGATATGAGTCTGACAGACTTATTGCAGAATTTCACCGACATAAACTATTTTTTTGATTTCACGGTCAATTGAGTACTTTGGTAAACAGACTTATTTGAGTTATTGTCAGGCAATTATTTACACGGGCTATCAACTTAAACAACGCTTCTTCTAATATTCAAATCGAATCAATTCAATTCGTTTGTTTTACCAAGAAGTTTCATCATTGTAAATTGTGGTTATCTTCAATGGATTTTTAGTTTGATTTCTCTGTTTCTATTTGATTATCAATGTTTGGTCAAGTAATTGTTGTGAAAGAAGATAGTACAAGCCTCTTATAACATCTTCGAAAAGTAATCACACTTTTGTGTCGACCCTCCAGATATGCTAATATTACATGTTTATGTCAACACGACTGTTTCTCTGCTAGAACAGATTTTTTTCTAGGCTCAAAAAAGTCCTTTTCGTTCTCATTTGGTAGAAGTAAATTAAAGTTAGACCCATAATCTGCAAAATATATATTTTGGCTGAAAGTTTTCTTTTGGAGCCGTTTTTGTCCGCGAATGTTGATGAGTTACTCAATATAATTAATTTGGTCAACTATAAGGTAATTTAAAGTCTGGTTTCAACGTTTCATACTTTTTCGATTAAAATAAGCTTCGTCCAAGAGGTTTTTGTCGTATTCGAAAGAGAGAGGGGGGTTGGGGAGCAGTACAGTAATCACTGTCAGTTAAGGTGTCATTTCTGTGCAATTTAGTGCACCCGTTTCACTGCTTACACGTGCTGGGCAAATTTGCTTAGTTCATCATTTTATTTGAAGAAAGATCTCATTGTTTTATCTATCGGAGGTATCTTAATCTTGTTAACAATGAAGGCTTCAATACATTCTTAAGTCTTAAGCACCTTCGCAAATCGGGCTTTGATGTATTTGCTAGATTGTTAGGCCAGACCATCATCAACAAATTATCATTCAAAGAGAAACTTCTCCTTTCAAGTTTCAAGAGAACAGTTGACATTAAATTAAAGTGCCATTTCTACTACACACAAACACTAGAGTCTATTATCGCTCGCAAGTTGAGGATACTTTAGCTAACCTGATCAACAAAACTAGGAACCCAAAGATCCGATTAAAACCCACCGATAATCTCTTTATCGCCTGCAAACAATTTCAATTCACATCCGAATCGATGAGTGAAACCAGTGAATTCGCGTACACAAAAAATGGTATCAAAGGTTTCCGGTACATCAAAAAGCATCCGGGTTTTGTTCATATCAACTGGAAAAATGTTGCCTCCCTTGTTTTATCATTTTGACTTGTTTTTTTTTCTTGAGAAAAATGGATTTGTGTTTGAAATCTGATTGGCTGAAAAAATACGGGAAGCTAATTTTCCACTTTTATGGCGAATTGACCAAATTGAAAAAGTGTGAATAAAGGCTATTGTTAACAGGTATCATTAGCAGGTATCGAATTGACGCGTGAACTAACAATAATCTTTTCACAGTATTTATGAAACCTTTTCAATCTATGGCAGCCATTTTTGACAATGAGGCGGATGTTTTTTCCATCAAAAATGAGCGTTTCGGAGCCATTCTATTGAATGAGTTTCCGTATTATTTTCAGATGCTGGATTTGCAGAAGGTAATTGGCAATATAGAAACAAATAACAATTTTTTCGATGCTTTTTATGTTTCCTGTTCACAGATTGTATAAACAGAGGAATAGCAGCAAGATAGTTTTTCCCCGATCCATAATTAATGACATAGCTACCGATCAATGATACTGTATAGTTAGAAAGGGGTAATGTCAGTGTGAAACTGAGAAACGAGATTTGAATGATTATTTATTAATTTTGCCAAGCCAGTGAACCTGTCATAAGCACTATTGTGTTTGCAGTCAATCACGCCGGGAAACATTGATACACCTGATAAGACGAAAAATTGCTCTCTTTTCCTCTTTAATTTTTTACATTCTACTTCTGATTTCGATTGACTCAAGCAAAAAAACGGCTTGAGGTTTGAAAAAGTATTCAAAAAAGTGGATGTCTTATCAAAATTGTAAACCAGTTTTCATAAACACCCAACACTATTGTTCAACGGTTCATCCATATTTTATGCTTATACGAAACGGAAAGAAAATACTTTGGACTGCCCCCAGCGCTTGCGATACACTTTACTTATGAATTATAGATTCCGCATATTACATTTGGTCACAAATACAACATAAAAATCACCTGACTCGACAAGTATATCAAAACAACTTGATAACAACACCACTGAAAATATGCAATCTTGGAAATTGAACTCATTCGACTGAAGCCAAAATATATCTTCCATTTTTTACCGAACATCTCAAATATAATTGGTTTTATGATGCATAAGTATAGTAAAACACTTAGACCGCTTAAAACAATCCTATCACCCTTCTCGAAATGGGCTCAGCTATCAATTTAGGGATATATGTTAAGCCCGTTTGCCATCATAGCTTCGAAAAAAATTATAAATATTTGCACCGAGGTCCGCGGTTTGTGTTCAGATTTTGAGATTACATGGTGAAAGTCAAATTTTGAAAAAAAAATCTAGAGTTGAAACTACCATTCTTATTGGTTCCAGAGCATTATTTGACGTTGATTAATGAGAGCTTTTATCGCGGTACTTTTGAACCAGGTACCATCGACTAGAATTCTTCTGTTTAATATTAAGATAAGTGTCTTCAATTGTGAAAAGGTTTGTTTTCTAAACAGTTTGGGTGTAAATTGGATTTCAGAGGTTATCAACAGCGCGCTGATTGATCCAAAACTAGTTTCAGTTTATGTATTAGAGAAGATTTAAATCGGTTTAGTTATAATTTAGTTATAATTAGTGGTGTATCCAGTCGCTAATGTTTATCTAACTTTAACCAAATTGTCAATGGTTAATCTAATTTTGGGCGCACAACAGTCAAGATATCAAGCTGGGCGAAACTCAAGCAATATGTGTGTTCATTTACACTTGACAACTAATCCTAAGCTTTGGATAAATTATTAAAGTGCGTTTGGATATGTTTCAGGGGTTTAAAGGGATCAGATTGATTAAACAAACAGATTTCGCAATTCTCCTCCAAAAGATTTATTCTGATTTTGAGACATTATCTCAAACCTGAACATAGAATCAAAACCAACGAAAAATAGGAGTAGCCGTTTGCTGTGCAATTAGCAGAGAAGGTTTCGGAAATAGACACCTTTTGGAACATTTTTGGGCATTACTTTTAGTTTTTTCTTTAGTTTTTTTTGAGTGCATGGAGAAGGTCATATGGACTTGGACCTAACCAGATAATTATCTGTTAAAGGACGTCTAAAATTAGTATTTTCCTCAGTTTAATTGCCTCCTTAACTATACTTTGATCTCATTTTGGGTCATTTTAATGACACAATAAGGTCTAAAAAGCAAAAACAGCAGACCATTTTTTTCGACACTGAGATTCTATCTCTAAAACTTGCGAGACTTAAATTTTTGAAGTACATGGACTTGAACGAAAAAACACGCCCGAAACCAAAAGTTTTTCCATTTTATTTAAATTGATTTTTACTTTAAAGCAACTATATTTTGCTATAGTTGTCTGCAAGTTGTGAGTATTTTGAATTTTGAGAAACTGGTCAAAAACTGCTTTTGGGCTTATTTTGAATAATTTCCGGTACTTTATAGGTATGGTAACTCACGGAACATCGAAAGAGCTATCTAATGAAGTTGTTTTTATTCTTTGACGCGAAATGTTACTTAGCCGTTTTTAGACAGTTGAAGTGACTTTTCAAACTGAGATTTAATGGGGTAAGAGAAGCCACATGCTAGTTTATAGTTGAAATTGAATAAATTAGTGGTCTTGTTTATGATATTAGTCGTTGATACGTATAAGTGATTTTAAGTGAAGGAGCATCTTAAAAACTGTCAAGTGAAAGTTTGACAAGAACTTTTCTTTTATTTGTGGCATTGTTGCTGAAAATGATGCTGAGATTGTAGTATTGTTTTGCAGTAATCACTGTCATCGAGAGGACAATTCTCAACAGGTAGCACAGATTGGCTGAAATTGTGATCAGTCCAAATTTAATCTCACTGGTTTAATTTTGGCTGACCATCTCAAAAATCCGATTTAGTTATAAGAAGATTTTTAAGCTCTAGAAAATATCACAAAGAAATATTAACAATTGAAGTGTGAAAAAACTGAAGTGTGAAAACTTCAATATTCAAGTTTTCCAAATTTCAAAGCAGAAGAAAACCTTGAGAATTTTTCTCAACTGGCTCTTGTCTCTTCGTACTAATCCAGGTACTAATCGCAAATATTAGTGACAGAACAAGCCAGCTGTAATCCACGTGAATGCCCGGTTTGAATTTTTTTCTGAAGACGCAAATGGCAAGGTCGG